CTGGGTCTTTGCATGCTCTCTGTCTCTTTCTCTTTCTTTGTCTCTCTCTCTTTCTTTGTCTCTCTCTCTTTCTTTGTCTCTCTCTCTCTCTCTCTCCTCTCTCTCACTCTCTCTGTCTCTCTCGCTCTTTCTCTCTCTTGTCTGTCTGTCTGTCTGTCTGTCAGTCTCTCTCCCTTCCACGTGAGTAAATGCTAATACATTCACTGCTATTCGCATTCATAAAAGCTCGATATTGCTGTACGGGTGTCAATAATACTAGTTTGCATATAAACTCGGAATTCATGTTATAGCAATCTGGGTGAATAATAATCATTTGGTTTATTTTAACTGGGAACGGATCACGGCAACGCAATCTTTTCAGGGATAACTAAAACAAAACAAGGGTAGACTGGATTTTTAAAAAATTCTGTATTTATCTTCGTTTACTCCTTTGTTCCTTCGCCTGGCTTTTATCCTTTTTTTCAATTGCTCTCGTTTTTTTTCTCTGTCTCTATACAAACGACGAGTGCTGTAACAGGACACTGCAACTCAATCTCCTTACAAATAACCAAAGAAAACGGGCATTCAGCGTTCTTATTTTTTCCCGATTTTTTTTTTTACCATTTACTATAAAAGGGATCTCAGGACTCATGTTACATAGCCATTTCTGACCAAAGAACAGTTCCTCGGGCCTTTCACAGGAAATCAATCAACGTAATTCAATCTCTTCAGCAATAACTTAACGAAACATGCAGGCCGAGTGTAGACTGAACACTTCACGCTGGAAAAAAGTCAAGATCAAAGCTCCCTTGGCCGGCTCAGGCAGGTCCTCAGTAATTCACTAATTGACCAGTGAACCAAACTTGCTGTAGCTACACATTGCGTGGAGAAGACAAGAGAAATTACACATACGTACGTAATTATACCTACATAGAAGAAAAAGACACGTGGTAGAGATCTAAGGTAAAAAATAAGTATCTGCATTATGGTCGTTGTTCAATTCATTATCATCTATGGGTAGTTGCTTCCTAACATTCATAATGATGTATAGGTGCAATCACATTCCTATACGTGCAATGAACCATAGTGCTGTGAAAATACCATGACCTGTAATTGTGTGTACGTGCAAGCAACCTATATTCACGTACACTCACCCCTATATTTACGTATACATGCGATAACCGGTGTCTATGTACGATTTCCACTAGGGCAAGGCGTAATGTAGTTTCCCATTCTCCCGCTCCTAAGTATGAATATGCAGGAGTCTATGCTAGTTGGTTACCCTTAAAGGGACTTGACTTTACCTTTTCCACATTCCTAGCAATATTTATGTTATATTCATTGTGGCGCATCTAGCCATAATGTCTAATGAAAGAAAAATGGTCAAATTATGTATTTGTAGTTTTCATAATTATTGTTATGGTGTTTATAGTGTCTCTCCGTTTTAGTAAAGGTTTTCCATGTGTAGCAGGAGTAATGCTACATTCTGCATGAATCGCTAAAGTACAAACATTTGACGTATTTATAGGTTAAAACATGCAATCCGAGATGACTAATTGCCAACAGGGAAATCCATAATGACTGATAAATCCATGACAGAGATATACTTTTTTTTTGTTACATTCTCACAATTATTTCTCTCAACTCTTGGAATGATAATAATGAAAACAAAATGACAGCCAAATTCAAGAGTGACAACAGCAACAACAACAAAAGCGGTTATCAAAACGTAGCGATTTGACGGTCAAAACATTTAGCGCCAAAAACCATAATTAGCTACTACCTTTTTCCTTAAACAAGTACAAAATGAAATTCATAAACACCATTACCTCTACGCGGTACCGGGTAGAGGCTACAGTACTGCAGTGGAGTTAATTTATACTATAACCACAAGGATAATGACCGGTTTGGTGTAACTGTAGTCAAGATTACTTAACGTGCTCTTAAACGATCATAATATGCAATGAAACGCTGCAGTGAAAGCTAAATCATGGTTATATAAACATGTACAAATATAGTTATTTGAAATCACAAAAGTAGAATTAGAGAAAAACAAATCAAAACTAAGAATTAGCTAATTCTCAACTGTGGATCGTTTTTTTTATAGTAATAACTCATACTCATACCAAATCAAGATAATAAGTAAAAATGCAAAAGAAAAAAAAAGGGCTATTTTCTCTTAACTTTCACCTTCCCCAGGTTGATTTTCGTTCTTGAATGATAAATTTCAATGCAGGTATTCAGTAGTATGTAATATATTGACAATATGTTTTTTCAAGTTTAATTTCGTTATTCAAAACAATATCTCTTCACAACACTAATATTAAAGTGCAATTTAATCCTATCACCAAACCAATTTATTTTCTACTTATAAATTAGATCCATTTATCGCTGAACTCATTCATTCGACCTTACCACTACTTTCCCATGACCCGACCTGACCTGACCTGCACGGGGGCCATAGTTACCATATCACGCCTGCTCTGCCTTCAACCCCTCTTAGTAACGTATTCTCGAAAGCCAGGACATGCATAATCCATTCCTGTCTGGGGTTTAAGGCTGGGAATTCCGTCTCACTGTCGCTGTTGCCTTCATAAAACCAGGTCATGATTTTCCATGAGGTTTTAAGTTCTCGCATTTCACTCTGCAGAATGGTAGTGATGATAATGATAATGGTCATTGTGATGATAATAAAAGTGATGATGGTGATTTAGGTTTGCTGTGACAGGCTCTTGTCAAATTGTGATAGATAAATAGGTATCGTCATCACTATCACCACCGTCATCATCATCATCATCATAATCATCATCATAATAGTAGTCTTCATCATCATCATCATCATAGTCATCTCATCATTCTCACCATCATCATCATCATAGTCATCATAATAGATGGTAAATAGGTAGGTAAAGAGAAAACAGATAGATAGAGAGAGAGGACATATAGATGAATAGATAAATAGAGAGGATATATATATATATATATATATAATATATATATATATATATATATATAGATAGATAGATAGATAGATAGATAGATAAAGAGAGAGAAACAAACAAACAAAAATATACCATTCCTACTATACACTCCAGCAAACAACACACCAAGGGATATTTGTCCTTATAGTTGAACGGCATAAGACCGATATTCATCCGAGATAAAATGCAAAACACTCACGCGTAAGTTTTCAAAGTCGCTCAGATTTGAGTAAAGACGTAAATAGTGTTCTGATATTCCTTTTAAAAATAACTGGCAGCGGTCGGCACGTACAAGTGACTAATTATATTCGAAAAAAAAACATTCGTTATAAGTTTTTGTTTTGTGTTATTGGCATCATTATCATTTTATTAGTATTGCTTTTATTAGTAATTAGTATTGATATTATTAGTTATTGATTGATATCATTAGTTATTATTGAACTAATGGTATCAATCAATAATTAATTAATATTATTAGCTATTAGTATTACTTTGATTTCTACAAGAACTGTTTCTAATACTGAAATTATCTTCAAGTGTGTACATACTTAAACACACGTTCTTATTTCTATGTCCACAACATAAATACACATTTATGCACAGATTCATGACACTAAACAAGCATCTGAACATACACCATATTACAGACAGAACATCTATCTATCTTATCTACTTTTTTTTTTTTTTTTTTTTTATTTTTTTATTTGTGTCTGTTGTTTTATACGTCTTTTTCTATTTTTTCTTATATTATTTTTCGTACACACACACACAACGTTCCCAGCTTAATTCGATCACTAACATCACATTATGCACAGACCATTACTGTTTGTTTCGGGTTCTGTAATTACCCCCCTCATACCACTCACCCCACACACACACACACACAGACCTCACCCACACCCCACATCAGACCCATCCACCCATCCATACACTCAGACGCCCACCCACCCACACACACCCATGACCTCACTCCACCCACCCATTCCACATCACACAGACCACCCCCACCCCCACCCACACACATTCCCACCACCCCAACACACACACACTCCAGACCCACCCACACTTCCACACACACAACAAGACTTCCACAACCCAACCCAACACACACACACAGACTCCACCCACCCACCAAACATACACACCAGACCCCACCACCTCACACACACACAGACCTCCATTCCCACCCACACACACAGACGCCATCCCACCCTCACCCCACACACCACCACTCTTCTTTTTCGCCCCTTGGGATCACCACTATCCATCCCACCCAGCACACACGCCATATTTTACAGCTCACCCACACACACAGACCCACCCTAATACCAACGCCACACAGCACCACAGACATCACCCACCCACAGACCACCTCACAACCCACAACCCCACCACAGACAACACCCACCCACAACACAGACTCCTACCCACCCACCCACACACACAGACCACCCACACCACACACAACAAATACTCACCCACTCCAATTCACCCGTCACCATCTTTTTTCCCGCACAACAGACAGCATTCCACTCCCGCACACATCACATACCCACTTCCACCTACTACATCACCATCCCAAGATCTCTCCACTCCACACCTCTACTCCCACATAACACATCAGACCCATCCCAAATCTTCACACTCATCTATCATTCAGACCCACCCATACCCACCACCACTAGATCTCACCCACCCAACACTGACACATCACATGACACACACACCACAACCCAACAGCCACCACAACACAACACAGAACGCCAACCACACCCACACCAGCCCACACACAACACACAGACCCAAACCCACCACAGACGACAGCATCCCCGACCCATCCCAGCTAACACACACAGGACCCACCTTCGAGCCCACACACGAACAGATCCATCACAGCACGCCGCACACGACACACAGAACCAGAGCGAGCAACAATACACACAAACAGCCACCCACACACACAGACACCACACCCACCACAACACCACCCACAACAAACACACAAGAACCCACCACGCTCAGCCAGAGCCCACCCCACC